GCCCACCCATGCCCGGCTAATTTTTTCTATATATTTTTAGTTGGCCAATTAATTCTTTCTGTTTTTAGTAGAGACGGGGTCTCACTCTTGCTCAGGCTGGTCTTGAACTCCTGAGCTTAAACGATCTGCCTGCCTCGGCCTCCCAGAAAAGAAGGAAGGCATTAAATATGAAGCCCCACGAGAATTTGTCCCGGGGTGACGTTGTTTTGGCTCTCGGGGCCACCTCATTTCTATAAACAGTGGAGTGTGTGGTCCTTATGAAATCAGAACACTGCTGGTTTTTATAACAGCTTTTTATGGAACTAATAAATGTCAAAATATTTTACTTCCATTCTGGAAAAAAAATTACAACGCTTTTAGCAGCTCTTTCTAAAAATAAATTTCTGCGAGAAGGAAAAGTGCAATTCTTACTATTCAGAAAAAAATTTTAATGGGCCCAGGCTCAGAAGAAGGCTGTTATCTCCTACGTGGAATAAAAAATATTATTTAAAGGAAAAGACCAACTGAAAATAACGCCAGTGACCCAAAATGCAATGAAAAAAAAAAAGAAGAAGAAGAAGAAATAGTTTTTGTTGTTGCAAGAACAGTTCCTGCGTCAGGGAGCGGAGGGGCCTTGGCCATGGTCTTTGGCAGCCCAGTGCTCCTCCTCACACCTTCCTGGTCGAGTTTCCACACGTGGCAGTTCAAGTGTGAGCGCCAGTTGTGTGCAAGGCGCCATGCTGGGCACGAGGGACCCAGGTAAGAGTGAGACGACGTTTCTCCCGCCCAGAGCCAGGAGCGCGGGGACGTGGGGGGAGACTGCCACCAGGCATCGCACCTGCATGGGGGGCTGGCTGAGGGCCCTGACTGGGCGGTGACAGCTCGCTTAACCCGGAGTCAACCAGGTTGAGAAGAGGAGGAAGGACGCAGCAGGCGGGGGAATAGGACGGTTCTGCTCTCCTGCTGGGACTGCCCTTCCTCCCTGGTTCCCGGCCGGCGCAGCTGCCCCAAGTCAGTCCTGGGCTGCTGCCCGTCCGTCCGTGGCGAGACTGGTTTCTCTTCCGTGTGAAGCTGCATCTTTTCTCCGGTCGGGAGTCACTGCAGTTCTTCTTTCCCGTGCATCCTCACAGCTCCAGCCATAAAATAGGGATATTGGCCTTCTTCGTCTCTATGTTAGAGCACCTGATATGTTAGGGAATATCGACGTTTTGTTTGTGATTTAAGTTGCGACTAGTGTTTCAGTTGGGTTTTATTTGCTTCTGATGCCTTCTAGCCATGCAGAAGGTTTCTTTCTTTCCTTTTTCTTTTATGTAATCCAAGTCAACATAGGCGACAGATTACAGAAGAACGTACCCGCGCACTATCCGAGTACTTGCGTGGGTTGATTTTTTGCTTTAAACTTGGTGGTCCAGTTGGCATGTACCTCCACATATTTTATAAAGATGGTACAATTTTATCTTTTTCCCATATATCTGTCCATTCATTTCAATAGCACTTATTAGATACATCTTTTCCCCACTCATCTGAGACGCCCCTTTACCATGTAATCCATTGCACGTGCGATCTGTCTATTTCCTAGAATTTTCCCCTCTCTTCCTTTGGTCCGTTTTATTCGTACGCTGAGAGCGAGCTGCCACGGACAGGGCCGTGCGGTCTACAGTCTGAGACAGCCCACGTCCCGCACTGTTTATTTTTCGGCGGTTTCTTTTCTATTCTTGCCTTCCTTTTGCCAACTAAATTCTGCCAGTTTTGTGTTGCCCAATAATCAAGTTGCAAAAGTCTAGGAAAAACCTGGACGGCAAATACCTGTCGTTTGGGGGGCATTGAGGTAAGTTTATAAACACTTTGGAATACAAGGCGTCTTCACCGGACTGAGTCCTCCTGCCCGAAACCGAGGGCGTCCTGATCCGTCGTGCCGGCTCCACCGCGCCCTCTCAGGAGCATGCCTGTAGTCCCAGCTACTCCGGGAGGTCGAGGCAGGAGGATGCTTGAGCCCAGGAGATTGAGGGTTGCTGTGACTAAGCCTACGCCACAGTCACCACCTCTACCTGGGCAACAAACCGAGACTCTGTCTCAAAAAAAAAAAGCTATTGCCTTTGTACATTGATTTTATAGCCTGCTGTTTACTTGACTCTCCTGCTGATTTATCAGTTTCTCCTCGCTTGACTCTGGATTCCCAGATCTGTGGCCCACGTCACCTCCAGGTACGGAACAGACAAGCGTTGCCTTTTCTTCCTGGATCCTTCTGTTGCCAGTTCTTTCTTCTGTCCGAGCAACCGTGACTTGCGACGCCGCCATGCTGAGTGAGGGCAGGCGGCGGACGATGGCTCTTCTCACTCCGGGACAATCCCCCAGTGTGACTCTGCGAGGAGGGTGCTCAGGAGCGCCGGCAGCACTCCATCTGGTCCCTGACAGAAAAGGTCCGCCAGCCCTCGCTGTAGACTGAGGACTTAGAGGCATTGGACCCATTGCAGTCTGCAAGCCTCCCCTCGAATTAGGTTTTAAAAGCACGACTAAAGAATAAACTTCCAGACAGCTGGAGAAATGTTGAGTGCTGACTTTTTTTGACGACATCGAGGAATTACTGTAAATTTTTTAAAAACACGACAACGGTAATATTGTTATGTTTTTTAAAAGCCACCGTCTTTTAGAGATGTGTACCTAAACCTTTGCAAATGAAGTGGGTCTGAGGCCGGCGTCCAAGCCCCTCATGGTGTGCGGGGCGGCAGGAGCTGGGCGCTGCACATTACGCACTTGTTTTACTGTTTGCATTTTGCTCTGTGCTTTTAGTGAAAAGTTAAAAAAAAAAAATCTCAGAGCCTCTTCCCGCTTGCTCAGAACGCCCTGCAAGTCACGCACGAGGCAACGCCTTCCAGAGAGCCCTCCTGAGGTTTAACTCGGGTCCTGCTTTGGAGACAATATGGGCCAACTGGGCACCGTGACCAAGAGAAAACCTTGGTTCCAGCTAAATTAAAGCCTGCATCTTAGGAAACCGAGGTCAACACCAAAGCACGCCGGAGTCGAATACAAGTGGCCACTGGCGTCTGCTTCATGGTCTGCCACGACGCCAGCCCTCGCTCCCACCCCAAGCTTGCTGCGGACTGCGCAGCCAACTGCGGTTTTTGGGAGTTACTTCCTGCTTAGCTTTATTTGTGCCGGCTTATATAAAGACACAGACCCACCCGGGGTCCCTTTGTGCAGCAGATACCCCGGCCCACGGCAGCCAGTAAATTCCACTGAACTGACCCGGGGCCTAGCAGAACAAGGCTTTCAAGAGCTTGAACGTGTAAAGTCAAATGTTATGTGTCAAAAATTGGTCTTTACATTGTTGATGTGCGGCCCACTTAGGTAGAGCTAATTTAGCTATGCATAATTATATCTTTTCTCCTTCCTTCCTTCCTTCCTTCCTTCTTCCTCCCTTCTTCCTTCCTTCCCCTTCCTTCCCTTCCTTCCTTCCCCTTCCCCTTCTTCCTTCCCTCTTTCCTTCCCCTTCCTTCCTTCTTCCTCCTCCTTCCCTTCCTTCCTTCCTCCCTCCTTCCTTCCTTCCTTCCTTCCCTTCCTTCCTTCCTTCTCTTCCTCTTCCTTCCTTCCCTTCCTTCCCTTCCTTCCCTTCTCCTTCCTTCCCCCTTCCTTCCCTTCCCTCCTCCCTTCCTTCCTTCCTTCCCCTTCCTCCTTCCTTCCTCCTCCTTCCTTCCTCCCTCCTCCTCCCTCCCTCCCTCCTCCCTCCTTCCTTCTTCTTCTTCCTTCTTCCTTCCCTTCCTTCCTTCCTTCCTTCCTTCCTTCCTTGCCCTCCTTCCCTCCTTCCTTCCTCCTTCTTCCTCTCTCCTCTCTCCCTTCCTTTCCTCCTTCTTCCTTCCTTTGCGCGTCCGGACACTGGGCCGCTGCCTTCTCTCTCTGTTCACGCAGCGTCTTCGCCTTACCTTCCAGGGTTTATGGCCCAGCAGACTCTCAGGGAGAGGTCTTTGGAGACGTGCGCCCCCTGCTCACGTCCCTCCTAGACGGGTGAGTCCACGTCATTTTCAGGCCGGGGTCACAGTGACGTCTGAGTGCGAGTGGACCTCCGTCCTGCCGCACGCAGAGTGCGGAGACAGCAGCAGGGCCTGAGCACCGCGTGTGGCGTGGCGCCAGCCGGTCCACGGCCCAGCTCGCACTCGCTGTCCCCTGATGGGGAGTCTGTCCCCTAGGAAAGCACCAAAAGCGACCTGAAAAAGTAGTTGCTCAGTGAGGACAGGTGTGCCTTGGGTTCCGGAATCTGCGTCAGTTCCTCGGCGTGCGGCCTTACGGCTGCGAGGGGAGCCGGCTTCCTTCCCTTCCTCGGGGTTACTTTCGCGTTTCACAGCTTCAGAAAGGCCTGCTGAGAATGTCAGCGTCGGGTTGGGGCACGCTCTCTTTGGGAGCCAGCGTCTATTCTCGGGGGACCCAGCCACGGGGTTCGCGGGCCGTGGCTGGGGAACGACGGGTATTTCCTTAGCGATGGACGGAGCCAGGTCTGTGCACTTAACCAAGGCTCCCTAAGCCAAGGCTTTCTTCCGCTTGAGGGTGTTTTGAAGAATGTCGGTTTTGTGGGCGTGTGGAGGCCACGTGGGCTGGGCGCCCACAGGCGTGACCTCCGGGAAGCATGGCCCACGCCGGGGGGCCCTCCTGCTGCCCGGACACCGCGCCCCTCCCCCAGTGATCGTGCGGCGCCCGCCTCAACCCTTCTCCGCAAGATGGCGACTTTTACGTCCATCTGAGAAAAGCTCCCTGGAAATGACAGGGGAGTCTCTGCTGTAGGAGGCATCTTTCAAGTGAGCGGATTCCAGAAATAGAAAAGGCATTGCGGTCGGGCGGGCCGTGCCTGGGCTGCCCTTGCAGGGTAATGGGAACCAGATGGGCTCAAGTCCCGAGCTCCCTTCTTCGGGAAGATGGTTCACGCCACGCTCCTGCGAGGTTTGGAGGGTCCCTGTAAGACCCTCTGCCTGCCGCAGTCAAAGACATTCCGACACAAGGAAACCCGTGTAGGATGCGGGGAAGGTGCGGGAGCTTGGGAATGTAGCGGGGTTTTGGTGCAGGCGCTTGGAGATTTTTTTTTTTGAGACAGAGTCTCACTGTGTTCCCTGGGCTAGAGTGAGTGCTGAGTCGTCAGCCTAGCTCACAGCAACCTCCAACTCGTGGCCTTAAGCAATCCTGCCTCAGCCTCCCGAGTAGCTGAGACTACAGGCATGCGCCACCGTTGCCCAATAATCAAAGTTGCAAAAGTCTAGGAAAAACCTGGACGGCAAATACCTGTGTTTGGGGGCTATTGAGGTAAGTTTATACGACTTTGGGGAATACAGGCGTCTTCACGACTGAGTCCTCCTGCGAGACCAGGGCGTCCTGATCCGTCGTGCCGGCTCCCCGCGCCATCTGAGGGCCTGCCTAGTCCCAGCCTACTCGGGAGGCGAGGCAGGAGGATGCTTGAGCCCCAGCGAGTTGAGGTTGGCTGTGGACTACGGGCTTGACGCCACAGCACTCACCTCTAGCCTGTCGGCAACAACGGGAGACTCTGTCTCAAAAAAAAAAAGCATATTGCCTTTGGGTACATATGAATTTTATTAGGCCTGGGCTCGATTTACTACGTCTCCCTGCTGATTAGCAGTCTTTCTCCTCGCATTGACGTCTGGATTTCCCAGATCTGTGGCCCACGTCACCTCCAGGGTATGGACAGACAAGCGTTGGCCTTTTCTTCCGTGATTCCTTCTGTGCCAGTTTCTTTCTTCTGTCCGAGCAAGCGATGCTTGCGACGCCGCCCTATGCTGGTGTGCGGGCGGCGGCCGGCGTTGGGGCCGTTCGCCTCCACTCCAGGGACAATCCCTCCGTGTGCTACGCGAGGAAGGGTGCTCAGAGGCCGGGCGAGCAGCCTCCATCTGTCCCTGACAGAAAACGGCAGCCCCCGTGTAGACTGAGGCGACTTAGGAAGGCATTGGACCCGATTGCAGGTCTGCAGAGCTCCCGTCGACATTAGGGGTTTTTTTAAAAGGGAACTAAAGAATAAACACTTACCAGACAGCTGGAGAAATGTTGGTGCTGGACTTTTTTTGACGACACGGAGGAATTACGTAAATTTTTAAAAACGCGAAACGGTAATATTCGTTCATGTTTTTAAAAGCCCACCGTGCTTTTGAGATGTTGTACCTAAACCTTTGCAAATGAAATGGGTCTGAGGCCGTGTCCAAGCCCGCTCATGGTGTGGGGGCGGCAGGACTGGCGCTGGCACCATTACGCACTTGTATTTACTGTTTGCATTGTTGCTCTGTGCCTTTTAGTGAAAAGCTTAAAAAAAAAAAATCTCAGAGCTCTTCCGCTTGCTCAGACAGCCCTGCAAAGTCACGCCACGATGGCAGACGCCCTTCCAGAGGAGCCTCCTGAGTTTTAACTCAGGGTCCTTGCTTTGAGACAATCATGGCCAACTGGCGCACCGTGACCAAGGAGAAAACCATTGTTCAGCTAAATTTAAAGCCTGCATCTTAGGAAACCGATGGTCAACGACAAAGGCACGCGGAGTCGAATATCAGTGGCCAGCTGGCGTCTGCTTCATGGTCTGCCACGACGCCAGGCCCTCGCATCCACCCCAAGCTTGCCTGCGGCTCGCAAGCCAACTGCGGTTTTTGGGAGTTACTTCCTGCTAGCCTTGTATTGTGCCGCTTATAAAAGACCACAGGACCCACCTCAGGCGGTCCCTTTGTGCAGCAGATACCCCGGCCCCACGGCATCCGTAAATCCACTGAACTGACCGGCCTAGCAGAAAAGCTCAAGAGCCTTAGACGTGTAAAAGTCAAATTTATGTGTCAAAATGGTCTTTACATTGTTGATTGGGCCCACTTAGGTAGAGACTAATTTAGGCTATGCAAATTATAATTTTTCCTCTTCCTTCCTTCCTTCCTTCCTTCCTTTCCTTCTTCCTTCCTCCTTTCCCCCTTCCCCTTCCTTCCTTCCTTCCCCTTCCCCTTCCTCCTTCCCTCTTTCCTTCCCTTCCTTCCTTCCTCCCTCCTCCTCCCTCCCTTCCTTCCTTCCTTTCCCTCCTTCCCCCTTCCTTCTTCTTCCTTCTTCCTTCCTTCTTCCTTCCTTCTCCTTCCTTCCTTCCTTCCTTCCCCTTCCTTCCCTTCCTTCTTCCCCCATTCCCCTTCCCTTCCATTCCCTCTTTCTTCCCCTTCTTCCTTCCCTCCCTCCTCCCTCCCTCCCTTCCTTCCTTCCTTTCCCTTCCCTCCTTCCTTCCTCCTCCTTCCTTCCTCCCTCCTCCTCCCTCCCTCCCTCCTCCCTCCTTCCTTCTTCTTCTTCCTTCTTCCTTCCCTTCCTTCCTTCCTTCCTTCCTTCCTTCCTTGCCCTCCTTCCCTCCTTCCTTCCTCCTTCTTCCTCTCTCCTCTCTCCCTTCCTTTCCTCCTTCTTCCTTCCTTCCTTCCTTCCTCTTTCCTCCTTCCCTCCTTCCTTCTCCCTTCCTTCCCCTCCCTCTCTCTTCCTCTCCTTCCCCCTCCTCCTCCTTCCCTTCCCTCCTTCCTTCCCCCCTCTCCTCCGCCCTATCCTTCCTTCCTTTCCTTCCTTCACTTCCTTCCTCCTTCCTTTTCTCACTCCTTCCTTTCTCTCCTCTCCCATCCTTCCTCCTTCCTTTCTTCCTTCCTCCTCTCCTTCTCCCCTCCTTCCTCCCTCCCCTTCCCTCTCCCCTCCCTCCTCCTCCCTCCTCCTTCCTCCTCCTTCTTCCTTCCTTCTTCCTTCCTTCCTTCCTTCCTTCCTTCCTTCCTTCCTCCTTCCTTCCCTCTTCCCCCTCCCTTCTCTCTTTTCCTTCCTCTTCTTTCCAACATATTACAACTGGCTTCTGCTTATTGCATTTTTTTAGCCGAAGGAAGCAATATCCTCCCTCCTCCTTGGACTTTGTTTAGGCTGAAAGCGACAGGGGGCTAACCTTTTGCTACGCGCCTCGGGGGGCCGGGAGGTACCGGAGCACGGGACACCTGTTCCCAGGCTTGCGCGTCCGGACAACTAAGAGGAGGAAGGACGCAGCAGGCGGGGGAATAGGACGGTTCTGCTCTCCTGCTGGGACTGCCCTTCCTCCCTGGTTCCCGGCCGGGCGAGCTGCCTGCGGCCCCGGTCAGTCCTGGGCTGCTGCCCGTCCGTCCGTGGGCGAGACGTGGTTTCTCTTCCGTGTGAAGCTGCATCTTTTCATCCGGTCGGGAGTCACTGCAGTTCTTCTTTCCCGTGCATCCTCACAACTCCAGCCATAAACATAGGGATATTGGCCTTCTTCGTCTCTATGTTTAGAGGCACCTGATATGTTAGGGATATCGACGTTTTGTTTGTGATTTAAGTTGCGACTAGTGTTTCCAGTTGGGGTTTTTATTTGCTTCTGATGCCTTCTAGCCATGCAGAAGGTTTTCTTTCTTTTTTCTTCTTTTTCTTTTATGTAATCATAGTCACATAGGCTGACAGATTACAGAAGAATGTACCCTCGCACTATCCGAGTACTTGCGTGGGTTGATTTTTTTGCTTTAAACTTGTGGTCCAGTTGGCATGTACCCTCACATATTTTATAAAGAATGGGTACAATTTTATCTTTTTCCATATATCTGTCCATTCATTTCAATAGCACTTATTAGAATACATCTTTTCCCCACTCATCTGAGACACCCCTTTACCATGTAATCCATTGCCACGTGCGATCCTGTCTATTTCTAGAATTTTCCCCTCTCTTCCTTTGGTCCATTTATTCGTACGCTGAGAGCGAGCTGCCACGGACAGGGCCGTGCGGTCTACAGTCTGAGACAGCCCCCGTCCCCGGCACTGTTTATTTTTCGGCGGTTTCTTTTCTATTCTTGCTCTTTCATTTTGCCAACTAAATTTGCAGTGTGAAGATCTTCTCCTTACCCTCCTTCCTTCCTCTCCCTCCTCCCTCCTCCTCCTCCTCCTCCTCCCTCTCCCTTCCTTCCCTCCTTCCTCCTTCTTCCCTCCTTCCTTCTTCCCTCCTCCCTCCCTTCCCTCCCCTCCCTCCTCCC